GCAAAGCTGCTTTCTCTGCTGAACGCAGCCAATGGAGCCTCCGAGAGTTTCGGGACCCAGAAAACTGACGTCATCTATCATTTTTGCTGCTCAAAGATGTAGGCAAACAAAAACAAATGTTTTCTTAACTCATCCGCACTCACTATTTTATCATCAATATAAAAAAAGTGCAGGAAAAAGGTACAGCTAAAGGTACAGAAAGTGTACATGTGAGAAGAACAGAGTCAATGGGCGCGTTCAAGTTGACAAAGGCTACGTTTACACCGTGCGCTTAGTCCGCGACCTATACGATAAGTGTCTTTGTTTGACCTACAAGATAAACAAGGACATCTATTGTATAGGCCGCGGCCTAAATGTACGGTAAACGTAGCCAAAGCGGCTCGCCAAGCAAATGAACATAATTGGTTGTTACTTATTGATCCAACCAATCATATTCAATCGCTCGGTAAACATGCCTAGCCGTTTTGTCTTCTTGAACTCGCCCAATGGCTGCATTCAGCGGACTCAGCAGTGATCGCTCGCTGCTATTGATGTATTCTTCTAGATCTAAAATTTTGATTGGATGAGCTAAAAGAATACACCAATAACAGCGAGCGCCCACTTAACTGTTGAATCCGCTGAATGCGCCCATTAGATGCGTTCGGGGAACGCGGCAACGCTTACTGCGCAGTGAAAGTTGTCACACTAACCAATAATTCTATTGGCTCCTGTACACTGGACGCGGAAATGCTTATCGCTCGTCAAAATGCGACGCGGTAACCAATGAACATGTCAGGAGCTGTAAGTTTATTGGCTACCGTGTCGTATTTTGCCGCGCGGTAAGCGTTTCCGCGTCCAGTGTGCAGCAGCCATAAGACGCTACGACCGCTACGATTTCTATTGTAGATCTCACATAAAGGTGCCACAATAAAAGGAATATGGAATTAGGAATAAGGAATAACGATTCCAACCTATCAGAAACCGTGTATGCCGATGTATCCAATATCTGATAGGTTGAAATCTTTATTCCTTATTCCTAATTCCTTATTCCTTCTATTGTGGCTTTACCCTAACTCTCTCCTGATTGGAGAGTTATGCGAACGTCACGCCACCTCCGTGCTTGCGGTCCCGGCTGTGGCGGGACTGGCGGGAAACACGAACGAGTTTCTTGGCGGCGTTCATTCTGAACACGCGTGTTAATTCTCGGTTGTATTAATAAAGTGCGTTCTCAGTGTTCCCAGCTTACTGCTCGATGCCGTTTTCTCCAGGTATATCCTGTTATCGCCAACTGCATTAAGTTCTCCTCGACGTCCGTGTCCGTCGTTGAACCGGACTATTCGACGGTTATTTCCCGATTTCTTCCTGGCAAACTTTCCACGGTTCCGTAACCTAGATCGTCCCTGTCTTACAGGCCTTGCAGCCAGTTATTTTTCAGAAGTGGAATATTCACTTCTTTGGATATTCTTTGCTTTTTCTTTTCCGAGCTAATAAGTTTCGTCGTTCGTTTCATGCTGGCACGTGCCGCGCCAAGCCTCGTGAACATCATCTGTCATTACGGCTCGTTCCCGCGATCATCGCGTCGCGTTTCGCGCCTACCCAATCATGCTACTCAGTAGCATCGTGTTCAGATCGGGCTCGAATCTGATCGTGTTCTCGCGTTGCGTTACAACACTCAACAAGTGGAAGACATGTGCGTATTCCGCCACATTGGCTCGTTCGTGCGTTTGTGGTTAGTTATTTTATAGTGTCGCACGATGGATCCACCGTCGTTCACTCGCGAATATTAGAGAGAGAGACATGCTCGACATTTTGAAAGCAAAGCTCGCCATGTGTAACCTGTCTTATACAACGAAATCAGTATCGAGGAGCCGAATTTGAGTTTGACAATCGGAGAAACGTCAGGAAAAGATGAGACGAAAGGCGGGAATAGGTGCGATACAAAAGCAGAAGCTGGAGCAGGAAAAGTATCGGGACAAGGGCACGGAAATCCAGGAAAACCAATTCGAGCAAATGACCAAGCACATGGAGACGTTTCGCGTGAATCTCGAGGAGTTCGCTTCAAAGTACAAGAATGAGATCAAGAAGAACGCATATTTCCGACGTCAGTTCACGGAGATGTGCGCCTCGATTGGCGTGGACCCTTTGGCATCTGGCAAAGGTTTCTGGTCGGTGCTGGGTATCGGCGACTTTTACTACGAGCTGGCTGTCCAAATCGTTGAGGTCTGCATGGCAACGAACTACAAGAACGGTGGTCTGATATCGCTAGACGAGCTGAGAACGCGTTTGATTCAGGCCAGAGGACGTAGAAAGGAGCATCAGGAGATCACCAACGAAGATCTGCTAGCTGCTGCAAAGAAGTTGAGAATATTTGGGAATGGCTTCTCCGTAGTTCCCATTGGCAGGGGAAAGCACTTGGTGCAGTCGATACCTGGTGAACTCAGCATGGACCATACTGCAGTATTGAGTCAAGCTAGCTTGTCCACAAACGCCTATGTCTCCAAGTCTATTCTGTGTAAAGAATTGAGATGGGAGGAGGACAGAGCACAAAAGGCTTTAGATCACATGATGAAAGAAGGACTAGCCTGGCTGGATAAGCAAGCGAAAGATGAGACGTTGTATTGGTTTCCTAGTTTATTCACAGCTTGCATTGTTTCCAAAGAATGAACTCGGTGTTATAACAATATCAGTGTTATCAAATAGGAAATAATTTAAAGAAAGAATTAACGTTGCTTGTTAAGGTTTGTATCTCTTTGGTCCATAAAGCCAATCGCTCTGTAATATTTACAGTATCTGAGATGTGTTGCGATCGTTTTATACTTATAAGTATAGGACATTGTCACCTAGTCTCGGATCCTTGTATATAACTAAAATCATAAAAGAAAGAAATATAAGTAAAAAGAAGATGCCATTTTGAAACGACTCAATTTCTCTAAGATTTTATACAAACCTTGGTTGAATAGTATCTGTTTTAAATTGAGTAAATTGCTGTTTGCAAAGTGCTTTGTGTAGTTCGGCATTCTCTTTCCGTAATGAACTAATTTTCCCACGTAATTCTTTAGACTTTACTTGAAATTGTGCTGTCAAAGATTTTGCTTCATCTCTCCATCTTAAAATCAAATCAAATCAAATTTTGATCATTTAGCCAGATTTTAGATAGTGACACATTTAAACAGATTTTTTTACCTTCTGCTTAATTTTTGATGAATTGTTACATGCTGCGTCATCTCTCTTATTTTCTTGTCAAAATGTTCTTGTTGTTTATTCAATTGCTCAGTTAATAGAGACTGCCAATTGAAATCCATATTTTCAAATCTGGAAAACATAGACAAGTATCCAAAGTGAAAGTTATTTATTTTATGTAAGTACAGCTTTGGCCATATGTATAAATTTATTGCATTTTCTTGAAAAAGGTGACAATAAAAGTCAAAGAAGAATTAACAAAATATTAATTATTTACAAAAATCATATTTTTTAATAAAACTTTTAAAATTTTTATTTTTCGTTAAATATAAAACGTTTACGTCAATTTGTGGAGGTGCCTTATACTTTGACCAAGGCTGTATAACATATATGTATTAAAATGTATATAATAAAATTATTTACCTTATATCCAAAGTATGTTTGCTTGTATCTGCTCTATGTTGCGAGACTTGCATAGGAGAAATATTAATGCCTGATTTATCCTCTGTTACGTAATTCTCTTTCAAAAGATTTGCTTCTAATTCACGGATCTTAGTTTCCAATGAGTATCGCTCGTAATCTCTCTTATGTATCTCGCGGTCGAAAGTCGATTGTAGCGATTTTAATTTTGTCGCCAGGGATTCCTTATCATCTGTAGCTTTGACTAATTGGCCTTCCAAATTAACATAGCGATCGATCGCGTCCTTCGTCCTTTCATCGGCCAACTTAATGCGATCTCGTATATCCACAGAGTTCTGTTGTTGAAGTTGCTTTAGTTTCTCATTCGAAGTTACTAATTTCTCTTCCAAACTAACAATCTTTTCTCGTAGCTGCTGCATCTCTAAATTATATTGTCTCTTGCATATTTCGTTACAAGCCTCCAACTTGGAGTCCGTCTGTTTCAATGCTTGTTCGAAGGTCAGAATCTTTGCAGCCGATTTTTCCAATAAATCCTCAGAATCTCGACGCATCTTCTCTAATTCCTCCTCTGCCAATCTACTCTCTTTTTGCGATCGATTCAATTGCGTCACCTTATCACGCAATTCTACTTTCAGCTGTTTGATCTCTGACAAATATTGCTTCACGTTGTGCTCATGAGCATCTTTCAATCTAGCAATCTCTTCTCGCATCTTAACGGCGTGTTCCTCAGCAATGGAGGTCAATCGAGTTTCCAACCTGGCGTTCTGTTCTGCAATTTGAGCCTCTCTTTGAAGTACGAAGTCCCTCTCTTTTACAGCAGATTCTACTAGATCAAGGGCTTCGGCCATCTTGCACTTTGTTTCTTCGTACTTCGCCATAATATTACTGACATCTCTTCTACTCTCGTTCAGTCTCTTCTCTAAATCTGACTTTAAATGATTTATGATCCGTATCTCTGCTTTCACGGCAGATAATTCTTCTGTTAACGATTGTATCTTCTGCTGACTATTCCTGTCTTTTAAATAAAATTACTGACATACTATCTCTCTCTTTTATACCTCGAATTAAATTAAACTACATAAATCACCGACCTTTCTGTTGAGAGTCTTGTTGAAGTTCCTGAAGTCTTGTTGCTATTTCCTGTTTTTCCCGCTTTAGAGCTTCTATCGTCTCTTTATTCGACATCCATGTTGACTGATGCTTTGCAAAATTTTCCTTAGCCTGAAGTAATTTACTCTCTAAAGCTTTTATAGCTTCTGAATATGATTGTCTGATGTTTTTCAATTGCTCTTCATAAAACATGGCATTGCTGTTGTCCACTGGACGAGTTTTTAGTTCTTGCTCTAAAGTGTCCACAGCTTTCATTGACATCTGGTATAATTGGACTGCAAAATCCTTCTCCATTTGTAGTGCTGCAATATGCTCTTTCAAATTCATGACCATTTTATTGTGCACATCTTCGTTGCCACATTGCTCTGAGTGAGCATGTGAAATATAATCACGTATGGCATCACTACTATTTTTATTCTCAACGTACAAAGCTTGTAGCTCGGAACGAATGCCGGTTTGTTCCGTCTGTAAAAGATATATGTGTCACATATAGAATTGCTGCTATCCAAGATCCCTATTTTATAACTCTTAACAACAGTATCACATTGTTGCATAACTTTTATATCATATCTTTCTAATCTTATACTTTCTAAAACTTTTAGAATGAATCTTACTTTGAAATCCTACTTTTAAAGATTGAAAATTAAGTCATTATTTTTCAAGATAATTTTCATTCTTTAGAGTAAGCTTCTACTCAACATTTTAGAGAGTATTATATTGCATAATAATGCAACAATACCAACATTGTCGTTAAGAGTTACAGAATAGCAGTGATAAAATACATAAATCAACTATCAGGACATCATGATTTTATCATTTTTATTGTGATAAATAGAGTTATTATGATGTTCTTCTAATATCATATGACTTCTGTATTTTATCTAGGAACGTAATTTATTTAAGAATAGAATACAATTGGAAGAAAAAACATCATATTTATTACCGTTAAACAGACAATCATAATGATAAATAAGAAGCTTACTTTGCATGTTTCCAACTCCCGTTTAAGTTCTTCAACAATGTCATTGTATTCTTGAAGAATAACATGATGATGTTCTCTAGAATATAAAAGAAATAGTTATCTTTTATCTAATACCAAAACCATACACTCAAGATTTCCTAACCTCACACTTACCCGCATTTCAGCGCTTTGTACTCCGAATCGAACTTTTTTGTTTCAAACATTTTTTTTTTTTAATTTATTAATTTACAAAAGGCAAATCAGTTATCATTAAAAAATTTTATCGATATCTAAATTCTTATTTTCATTCAATTGAATCAATAACTATCCGTAACATGGGTGTATAAACACAACACACTACATAATTGATTTGACGTGACACGCAACGTATATCATACGTACATTGCGTATATATATTGATGTGTATATTTTTGGCGATAAAAATCCTCAAAATACCAACATTTGATGATATAGAAAATATTGATTAGTATATTTTTTATCAATAATTATCTACGACGATATATCGATAATTTACGTTATAAATTCATGATAAAGTGGTCTGTTCTGTTCAGCTGAATTAAAGGTGCCTTTTCATGCTGACGTTTGACACTTATTTTCGGCGTAACGTGATAGAAATTGACGAATGTCAAGCGTCAATTTTGATTACGTGACCTATTTTGACGTCGAAAATGAGCATCGAGCGTCAGCATGAAAGGTATCTTTATGCATTCGTTTATTTTTTCTCTTTTTTCCTCTGCATTAGAAAGAAAAGGAGGAATGATGAACAGTGTAAGAAACTAAGAAGTGAACTTGAAAAGAATAGATCAAATACGTGTTTCGTAATACAATTGTGATATGAAGATCATTTAATATACAAATTATTTTTTTAATAATATATATGTATATCTCGGAATTTTGTATTTTCAAAATATATCATATGAACGAATTTATAGCGTTTTTCCACTGGAAAAACTATATAGCGTACACTGAGAATACAATTAATTGAGTGTAAATCAATTCACATGTTTTCATTGTTAATAAATAATTTAGCTCTTTTAATTATATCTCTTTGTTGTCTTAATAATCTCGTAACTTAAAAAATATTAAATTATTTATTAACACCGAAACTATGTAAACCGATTTGCACTTAATTGTATCAGTGTTGCACTTAATTTTTCCGATGGAAAATGATAGATGCGTTCGCTTTGGCGCTTTGCATTTGTAAGCATCATCTGTTCTTGTTTAATATTCGATAATCAACAAGGATGAAATAATGCTTACAGTGTGTGAACGGGATAAATGAATACACCCGATATGAGCGTTTGCAATTGAATAATCGCATCCCTGTCAAAGTATATATTGCATTTTCATGGTCACTTATGCGAGGTCTAAAATAGAAGTCGTAGTGGTCGTAGGGTCTTAAGTCGTAGAAAATTGACCAATCACAGTTGATTATTCTTCTCATATTCGACTGCTACGACTTCTATTGTAGACCCTGCATTAAACTGACTATTTCAGCGACAAAAGCATCACGTGGTCAAAATTGCCAAATATCAACATCAATTTTGATCATGCGATCCTTTTTATCGCTGAAATGACCAACTTGAGCGGTACGTGAAAATGTACCTTAAGGAGTTAGTTTGACTCGCGTCGTACACGTTGTATTGGATAAAGTTGCCGCTATTTTCGAACTCTCTCGTCATCCGTTGTCGAAGTTAGCTAGTAGTACGGGGTGGATTGATCTCGAGCCGAGTAACGTCGCGACGCATTTAATCATTTAATCGGTAAGCGTAATCGTCATTTACTCGTATTTATTAGCATTTTATAGTATAGGCGGCTGGTGAAGCGCGGTTCTGTTCGTGAAATGGCAAAATTCGATCGTGGCTCTATGTACCGCACGATAATTGTCCCTCGAGATTCATTACATTGTGAACGAGCAGTACCCAAGCAGGACAATAAAGATTGTTCTTTTTAGCTGATCGAACTTCTTGCACAGTTTATCTTTTTTTCTTTTCCTCTTCAACGTGGAAAGAAACTCTCTAAAACTTTTAGAGCGAGTGTCACTCTGAAAAGTAAATTCTCACTCTTAAAGATTGAAAATTGAATTTTTTCAAGAATCTAAATTTTTACTCTTTAGAATGAGATTCCACTCCAAAGAATTTAGACAGAAAAAAGGAAAAATAAACAATGCAAGAAGCTCAGTTAAAAAGAACAGGCCTCAGGTTACGATAACATGAAAATTAAAATGAAACATGACTGATAGAAAAGTGACTTTCAATAATTACTTTTGAGCCATTTTGACATTCTTTTGACGTCATTATTACTTTTTATTCTGCTATTGGGTAAAACAAACGATCATTATACTTTCGGATATTGCATTCCGCAGAGGATATCCACTTTTGATTTTGATTCAGTCATGTTGTAATAAATGAGATAATAATAGCTACGAAATCTTTTATTTACTATTTAGAGAAATTTATTACATAAGCGGTGAAAACGCGCAAGAGGGATGATAGTCGCCGTTGACGCGTGAAGTTGGCGTTAACGCGTGAAGTTACTCGCGCGATTTGTGTAGTTGATTCGCCATTTTGGACTCCTTCCCGTCGCGTTAATAATACACGAGCTGCGAGCATCTATTCAATTCCTTCGTTTTTTTCGCGGTATTCCAAAATGTGCCTCACGTAAGACCAATATCAGGAGTGTGGTTATTATAGTATAATGATTAATGCGAGCGTATTCGTAATCGGTCCCGTTTTTGCGAGCAGGTTGTGTAAGCTAATGAATGGCGACGCGAGAGAAGTAGGAGACCTGGGAAGCATCGGACGATAGCGGAAAGGTGGATAGGTAATTACTATTGCTTATTACTTAGAATTGAATAATCGTTTATTTATGTAATGATGGCATTTTGTGTGCCATTTCATATTTTATAAATTGTAAAAAAATGCGTATGAAGTAGTTTGGATTTTTTAAGACTTTAAATATTTAATAAAATATTTATAATATTTAATATCTTTTCGTTAACAATAATTAATACTTAGTGTAACATTATGACTGAATTGTTCTACTTTTTAATAAATTTCAGCTTATTCATTCTCGTTTTCATTTTCATTCTCTCTCTCTCTCTCTCTCTCTTGCTCTTTCTTATATCCATTAGATAAATTAGTATCCACATAGTTCACCCGAAGGTGGAACAATCAGCCCTGTGTGATTTATAATCAAATATTCATAGAATTTGATAATTTATTTGCTCTCAGGTTGTACGAGCCAGTTAACAGGGTGACGAGAAAAGAGAAGGCTTGAGAAGCATCGGACGACAGCGTAAAGGTGAACATGTTATTAGAATTTATTTATTGCTTGTCACCAGAATTAAATCGTTTATCTGTGCGACAATCAAATTCTATGCGTCATTTTATATTTTATATAGATCGTAAAAAAAAAGTCTATAAAGTAGTTTGCATTTTTCAAGACTTTAAATATTTAATAAAATATTTATAATGTTTAATATCTTTTCGTTAACAATAATTAATGTTTAATATAACATTATGGCTGGGGTATTTCATCTTTCGATAAATTTTAGTTTACTCACTCTTTTGCTCTCACTTTCGTTCTCTCTTTCGCTCTGTCTTATGTTCATTAGATAAATTACCACCATAGTTCATTCGAAGATGGAACAACCGGCTCTATATGATTTACAATCAAATATTATTCATAGAATTTGATAATTTATTTGCTAGCAGGTTGTGCGAGTTAGAATGGCAATGGAAAGACGAAAGAGGAGGAGGAAGCCTGGAAAATATCAGGCGATAGCGAAGAGGTAATTACTTTTATTATAGAAAGAGACAAATGTATATAAATCACGTTGTGAAAAAAGAAAATTTTTTTCATTGTATTAATAGCAAATTTATTAACTTGAAATATTAATATCAAACATATTACTTTTTAAAATGTTCATTACCACATATTAATATTATTTATATAATATATCTCGCATCGTACTTCGAATTTTAAATATAATTTTAAATATAATTTGTCTATTATCATTTCCGAATTAAGATCATACAATAATATGCAACATATACCTTGATCAAAAAGTTCCTGGAATTCATTCAGAAAATTCAAAATACAAGTTTATTCATCAAAAGTGATATTGTCCCCTTCAAAGTATTCCCCATCAACTGCAACGCACTTATGCCAGCGCTTGATCCAGCTTTCGAAAACATTTCTGGAACTCTATTGTCGGTATAGCCATCAGAGCCGTCTTCGATTTTTCCATTATCTCTTAGTAGTGGTTTTTTGACTCGATTGAACAGAAAAAAATCGC